AGTACAATTTGATTTTTTAAAAATTACAATGTACATTTGATATTATTTTGTATTACTTTTAAGTGTACAGCATAGTTGTTAGACAGTTATACACTTTACCAAGTATTCCCCTGATGTTTCCATTATCCACTTGGCACCATACATAATTATTAGAATATTATTGACTACATTTCCTATGCTGTACTTTATATCCCCATGACTATTTTGTAACTACTAATCTGTTTTATCTAACCTACTGTTTATTCCTTCTACTATATTCTTCATTTCAGATATTGTATTCTTCACTTCTGATTGGTTATTTTTATGGTTTCTATGCTCATTTTTATGCTGTTGAAGTTCTCACTTAGTTCCTTGAGCGTTCTTATAACCATTGTTTTGAACTCTGTATCTGACAGATTGCTTGCTTCCATTTCATTAGGTTCTTTTTTCTCGAGGTTTCTCCTGTTCTTTCATTTGGGGCATATTCTTTGCCTTTCCATTTTGACTGCCTCTCTTGGTTTCTGTGTATTAGGTAGATGTTCTATGTCTCCCTGCTTTCATAGGGTGGCTTTATGTAGTAGGTCCTGTGGGATCCAGTGGCAAAGTCTCCCTGATCAGCTCAGCTGGATGCTCCAGAAATGTCCCCTGTGCGGGTTATGTGAGCCTTCTTGTTGAGTCTTGATTGCTGTTGGCCCCTTTTGTGCATGGGATCAACCCTCAGGCTGCCTGCTAGGAGGACCGATCCCACACAGTGTATGAATTGCTGTGCCGGTGCTGACTACATGAAGCAAAATTTGTTTCAGCAGCGTCTGGTGGCCTTTGGATTTGCCACTTGTGGAGCTAATCAGGTCCTGCTGTGATGTGGTCTGAAGTCCACCACTGGGTGTGTTAGTTCTGGGGCCTCTTGGACTGAACTCTGGTGCAGGTCAATGTCCAATGCTGCCTGTGACTGGCCCTGGGCAACCTGTTTGGAGCTACAAAGTGATCCACAGTTTGTGCCTGTCTGTTCTGGGCCTGAGTGCGCACTAAGCTGCATACAAGGCCGGCTTCCACCAGCACTGAGCCTGGTGGTCGGTTAGCTAAAGGCCGAAGAGACCCACCGTGACTGTTAGGCTCCGTCACTGAAAGAGCCTCTGGCAGTATGCAAATTGCAGGAGAACGGTTCTCAGTGAATCAGTAGGTAGGGGTCAGTGGTACCAAACTGATACAGATTCAAACTCAGCGCCAGTGCTTGGTATGAAGCCACCCAGCAAAATCTCAGGGTTCACCAAGGCCAGCTGTTTGCAGAACTTTGGTGTGGGGCAGAATCTCAGGAAGTCATCAGAATGAAGCCCAGCAGAGTTTGTCAGACTCAAACAGACCAAGATTGGGCTGTGACGGAAGGGATCGGCACAGGAACAAGGGTCCCGGTTGGGCGTGGGAGGAGAAAATGGCCCTAAAGCCACACAACTCAGTCTGTCCTGGATTCTGCCCAGACCTCCTCCAGAGCTTGCGCTCAGCAAGGCAGAGCTGCTGGGAGTTGGGAGGGTGAAGCCAGTGGACCTCCTGTGGGGGAATGACACAGGTCAGGCTCTCAGGAAGGTTGAGGTGAATGGCCCCCAACCCAGAGCCCACAACTCAGTCTGGAACACCCCCTGAGTCTGCCCAGACCTCTACACCCGGGGCCTCAGGCAGCTGACACCTCTGCAGGGCTTGGGCTTGGCAGGGCAGGGAAACAGGGAGTTGGAGGGTGGGGCTATTGCATCCCCCCAGGCTGATGCCATCTGGAGGGGAGTTCTTGACCCAAGAAAGATGGAGTTTGTGGGAGAGGAACTATGCCCAGGAACCCTGGTGGTTGTCCCTGTGGATTTATCCTTGGAGCCACACAACCCAGTCTCTCCTCTCACAATTCTAGTCCACTTTGAGCTTCTCTCCCTCCACCAGAACTCAGGGTGCGTGGCTGCAAGTGTACTGTGTGCGGGCCCACTAAGAGGACATCCGGGTTTTTAGCAGACTTCTCTCTCCCTGGAAGACAGAATCCCGCTGCTTTTCACAGCCAGATATTATGTGGGCTCTTCTTCCTGGTTCTGGTGCTCTGGGATGGGAACCTGGTGTGGAGTTGAGACCCCTCACAGTAACCCAGGACTTTTGCTGCTGAGATATCCCTCCAGATTCTCAGTTGCCTCACATGGGTGCAGGGCCAGCCCTTTTTGCACCTATGCCCTTCCAACCAGTCTCTATGTGGCTTCTTCTGTAAATACTTGTTTTAAGACTCTTATTCAACGAATCTTCAGTTGGGGTTATTTAGGTTGATTGTTCTAATGCAACCTAAATAACCAGTTTGGTCCTGGGAGGAAGTGAGTGTAACTTCCTCCTACTCCACTGCTCTCTTGGATCCCCTTGATTTCTTAATTTAGAAAAAAAATAGAGATAGTCTAACAGTTTCTTCCCATATTCCAACTGCTCCAGGGGTCAGACTTGTTATAGGAAGTTTCCCTTTCTATATTTTGGGACTATGCCTGTTGAAATCCTCTGCTCTAATTATTCTTGCTGTAATCACATCTAACATTAAGTTCCCCATTAACAATATGTGTCAGTGCTAGAAATCAAAGAAAGTCTGTGCTATAAATTTTTCATAATTTAGGAATAATCTCAGGACTTTTAAAAAGTATCGACTAAAATTATTACTAGGTTGATTTGTAAATGATGCGTTACATTCTGTATGAAAGTGGTTTTCTGTAATTTTGCTCTGTAAATGGTGACTCAAATCCCTTAAAATGCTTTAAATACAAAACAGTTTGGATAAAGGGAAAAAGTGACAAGAGATCTTGAGTGTTTGAATTAGAAACAATTCCTGTTTAATGAAAACTAAACTTGTTTAATGATGAATTTTAACTCTGGAGGTGTGTGCCCTGCCAGCACAGCCAAGGGTTCCGTGAGCCTGAGGGGGGGAGGGGGGGGGTGAAGGATGTAGAAAAGACAAAGAGAATAAGCTGGGTCTGGGTGGATCGCCTGTGCCTGACTGAGACCAAAGAGAGATACCCAGACTCCAAGCTGAGCCTTTATTTTATAGCCAGAGGTAAACAAGGTAGTGGTCACCATAGTTACAATGTTCTTGTGAGTTTCACTTGTTTTCGCAGCACTTGCTGCATCTCCCTCAGCAGTTAGCTACCCAGATAAGATCTAGGGAGAGTCATAAGGTCAAGCCTAATTATGCTAAGAGGACTGTGCCCTCTAAGCTGGGACTCCTTGTGGCTTTGCCAACAGGTCAGTCCTGAGGCTTAACCCTACAGCCGCTCCCTATAGAGGTGATCAGAGGACAAGCCTTTTCCTGACAAGAAAACGAAGTCATTAGGTTTTAAATATAGACTCAGTGTTATACAGCTTTGCCATAAGAAAAGGAGGAAGGAGAAAGCTGACCAAGGTATCAGAAAAGATAATCTCAAGCCTTTGTGGATTTGATATCAACCACTCTTAAGAGGTCAGGCTATCTAGGCAGTCAGGCCCAGAACTGGCACAAACCAACTAAAATGAGAGTAGACAGTGGATTAGTGGATTAATGTTTCTGTTGAAGTTTCTTAATGTAGTGTGGAAGCATATTTGAGGAATTAAAGGCATGTAACAGATTAATTCCACAAACATCTATTAAGTATTTTGTGGTACAGAAATTAATAAAGCATGATCTGTGCCCTCAAGAATTTCACCATCTAGTGAGTTTTAAACATCCCAAGTAACTGTAAGGAAGGTATGTTGAGTGATGACCCCTTCTCTCTGACTGCTTTTCTTAGTCTGGCCATCCTCTCCTTTTGGATAAGTACTACTGAAGGGGGTCCCTCTAATTATCCTTTTTAAAATAAAAATTCTAAGTTTTCCTTTCACTTATGATTATGTCAGAGTTTACATTAAAAGCGCAAAGAGTAACTGTTTCAGGGGAAAAGTTTGCCTTAAGCAATGCCATGCATGCAAACTTCTGGCCCTACTCATGTCCTGTACAATCAAATAAACCAAGTCTCCTTCTGGGGCTCAATGGAGTAAGCTTTGCTTGTAGACATAAATGACACCACAGCAGTGCACTGAGGGCAGCTAGCCATTCTGGAACTTTCCCAACAAAATGTCATTTCCCAATGAAATGACAAAAGCCAGACCAAACAAGAGACCTGACTACACCGGGCTGATATCTGTTATTTTATCTGGCTGTCCTACTTCTGTCAAATCATTTAAATGTTGAACCTATGTCATTGAAAAGCCGGCATATAAGCAACCAGCTGACTTTATAGGAACAGCTAATAATATTATTAGTTGTGGAGCATTTTACCAAAATCCGCTCAGGAATGGAGTGTGGTAATCTGAAAGGAATTACTGCGCATTACAAAGCCGTGGTGCGTTTACTAAAATGCACGAAGGGCAGCAGAAGTGCGTGCAGGGTCACACAGAAATGACGGCGGCTGACTAAGGGAGCGTGGCTGTTCCAGGTCTTGGTCCCAAGGAAACTCGGGTCACCTCCCCAGCACACACCCCGTTATTTCGGCCTTCGCACTAGAAAGGTGCAGGGCTTGTCCCACATTAGCGAGGCGACAAGGGGACCGTGAGAAAAAGGCGATGAGCTCCCAGATGGGGACCACCCCTGGGAAAGCCGGACAGGACGGCAGGCGGGTTGCCCACAGCATCATAGGCGCCTCACACGCAGGAGTCGGGCATCTCCAGACTCCCAAGGCGGTGGGCACCAGAACCATGGAGAAGGCGGGGGTGTCCCACAGGGGATTCCGGAGAAAAGGCCGAGGTGGGCCCGGGCGGGAGGCGGTGTCCAGCCCCCGGCGGCGGCTCCGGAGGAGGGGAGGTGGGCGAGGAGGAGCGGGGCGCGCGGTGGGCACCAGAGACGAGAGGAGGGGCGAGGCGCCTTCCCCGGCCCCCCCTCCCCTCGCGTGGGCTCCCCTCTCTTGCCCTCCCCGGTCCGCCCGGCACCCGAGCGCATCCCGAGGTCTGGCCGCTTCAAGGGGAGGCGCCACATCTTCGCGCCCGCCCGGGACGTGCAGTGCGGCGGCGCAGGAGGCGGAGCGGAAGCGCGGGCCGGCGCTGAGGTAGGCTTGGGCAGCGCGTCGAGCCGGAAGGGCGGGGCTGCAGCGGGCAGTCTCGGGTGTCCTCGGGGCGGTGCCGCCGCCCCCCGCTGC